AGAACATTAATTACAAAAGAAAGTCAGGAAGTAACAAACGGGAACAACCAAGAAGAGAGGATTTGTGGAGGGAGACTGCCTATGACTTACTTTAAACCTAGAACTGAGTCTATCTCCTGAAATCACCTTTTCTTGAAATAACAAAGTAGCACACAAAATAAAGGGTATTACCCATAAGGTAGCTGTCCTATCTAAAAAACATCAGTATGAGACCAAAAGGTAGTTACTCAAAAGCAAAGGAGACAAGGAAATGAGCATACTGAAAAAAAGAACAACTAGAAAAACCATTAAAGGTATTAGTGACACATTGTGATAAATTGAGTACTATGTATAGAAATTGTTAAGTGGGAACTTAATTTGCTGTGTTCATTTTCATCAAAAATTTAATAAAGTACTGTTTTAAAAATAGTTTTCAAAGATTTTTTTTTAATTCAGACTTCCACAGGGGCAAAAAGTAATACACGCTCACTTTCTCAAGTAAAAATCATCTCTCACCAGAATGAATTGGAGAGATGAGGCATTTTTAAGCATAAAACCAATATAAGTGGGTTTCTGATTTTTATGAAACATTGTGCTTAATTAATTCCCCAAAAGTACAAGGTATAAAATCATGTACAATAACATCATTAAAGCTCAAATATCTACCCAGAGATAAAATCCTTCATCCTCTCCACAAGAGTTTTGCAAAAATGTTGTCTTCTGGGGTTATAGTGGGCATAGATCAATGGTGTTAATTTTATGATGCACAATGTATGGGAATGACCATAATAAATGCAATATACAAAACAATTTTAAAAAAATGTGCCCTTCACTTTCTTTGAAAACTGTAGTATGATTTTCCCATTTAATCAGAGCTCAAAGTTTCTTACATATTTTTTCCACAAATGTCCTAATTTTATTCTGTCTGCTGTCATTTTTGCATGCTATAGACCCATCAAAGTTTGCCAAAGAAAACAAGTCTCTCTTTTGAAAGTGAATAAAATGTTCATTTACCTCAGATAAATTTTCTCTTTCAGTCCAACCATCTGGATCTAAATTAAGGTACCCTACTTTGAACATGGGTGTGTACCATCTGGGTAGCCAAAAGTGGCAATTACTTCAGGTAAATGAACATTTTACCTAATTTTAAGTGAGCGCAGTCTATAGGAGATTATGGCATAAATACACACCTCTTTTATCTGTCTGTTGCACACCTCTTTGAAGAAGAAGGGAGTATGTGTTCTGTCTAATGGAGATAATTTACTGCTTATATGTAAACATTTCAATTTTAAGAGAATTTATTTATTCGCAATTCTCAAGAAGTGATTTTTTTTTCTTAGAAAACCAGATGTACAACACAAAATAGACTTGTCTCAAGAACTGGAACATCTGGCTCAACAAGGAGCTTGCCTTTTGACCCTTCTCCACCATGTATGGGAACTATGAAGGGTCTCTTCCCTACAGCACCTAATCAGGCCCCCTCCAGTATCTACTGAGCATACTTGCATATACCAATGAGGGCGTGTGCATACTTTCCCAGGGACAAAGATATTCAACACAGTGTGGAATCAAACCTTCCTGCTTTCACCAAAATCCTTTCTCTCAGATATCTGAGTGCATCAGAAACTGATGTATGGTGTATTACTATTAATGTTTAAGTGCACTAAATCAAAATATCACTCTTTTAAGGTCTCTAAATTGTTCAACGTAAATCCTGACTAGCAGATCAAATATGTATTTTCACTACAGGAATTATCCTATAATTAACTTTGCAGTAGGCTCTAGTGACCTACCTATCAGTAAGAAAACTGCACTGCAATCCCAAAGGCAAGCAGTTCGAATCCACCAAGCTGCTCTGTGGGAGAAGGATGGATAATCTTCTCCCTTGTGATTAACTGGCTCTGAAAACACCCTTGAGGATCTGCTATAGGTCAGTTCCAATGGGATGGTACTCAACAACAACAACAGAACATGACTAAATACCAAGCTATTTAATTATAGATCAAATGAAACTTCAGAGTTTGTATCTGTGTTCTTTTGGAGAACGTAGATATCTAATGCTAACTTACACCAAGTTTTTGTGAAAAAATTATTACTATAAAAGGCCTAATCCTGAGTTCCTACAAATGGTCTGTTTTAAAAAATTCTGTGTAGTCATAGTAACAACAACAAAGTTAACAATGTATGGAATGTTGAAAATAATTGTGAAACAATTTATTAATTTTTTTTCTTTTATCAATTCTAGCAGAAACATTTATTGCATAAGCAATAAATTACCAAATGAATTATGGAACTGAAGGAAACAAAAACGTAACTAACATTTTCTTAAGAAGATGTTTAAAAATAAAGTCATCTTGGGAACTCTAGAAACACTAACTCTCTCAAGTCTACAGAAGGGCACACGCTAGCCCCATGTACACTGGGTTAAACTCTCAACTAAGTTATTTCCATCTTAAGGGAAAGATGAATGAGAGCATTGTTATACAATTATTACACTAAAGGTAGAAGAAATCAGTTATGGATCAAGTCGAATCATCTGGTCTTTTTAGAGTCCTATTAATTTGAAAGTACTGACTAAAATACTCTCAATTCCACCAGATATAATTTTACATGGCAAAGAAAAAAATCCAAAGTTACAACATACTTTATTGGAAGTATTTTTTTTACTCCAGTAAGTTTTATCACTAGAGATATGCAACTCCCTATATTGACATTTTGATAAAACACACTTTAATACTTCTAAATACAACACTTGTATTTGCCTTCTATGTCTTTTCTGTTTATTTGACATGAACATCAGTTTAAAAAAAAAGTTTTAATCAGTAGCCTTTCAGAGATGATGAAGGAAATAGTGGAAGGGGGTTTAAATTATCCATATCTGATTTTAGGATGTAGAAAGTGAATAATTCATATATTCACTTACTGGAGGCTTTAGCTGTATCATACAACTGCTGCTAAAGCAGTCGGGTATTTATTTATATGAGGTCATGGTGCTCTATAAATAATAAAACTTTTGTGCTCACACAACACATTTGTATTTTCTCAGCCTCAGATGGTTAACAGCTTCCTCTGAATTTCCAGGCACCCAGGAGCTACGCTCTGGGGATCTGAACCCAAAGTTCACGGCTTAGCTCTCCACTGACAAGCCTGCTGATCACAGGTGCCCTAAAAAGCTGAGTCCCAACACCTGGTAACACTGGTACCTTTAAGAAACTCCAATCTACCACTCACCAAGTACATTTGCTACCAAAAGAAAACCCAACTTTGTTTTGTTGGCTTTGGGAAGTTTTTTTTAATTGCTTGAAAGCTTGGTTGTGACCCACCCTTGTTATTTCATGAAAGAGCTTTATTTGCATAGTCCTTCCTAGTGGCATTGCTCACCAAAAGGCCACCTGTGTTTCTTCTAATCTAGCAGCTACTACAAAGGAGAAAGACAGTCCCTCCCCATGAACATTTAAGAGCTAGGAAATCTGATGGAGGGTCGCTATTAACCAGTTCTTTCAATGCAGTGAGTCAGGAGAAAGAGCAAGAATCACCTACTTATTCATTCAACAATAATAAACTTCAAGTTTCCAGTAACTTACTAGCGCTGAACACTGGTGACAGTGGTTTATTAATGGCACTCTACAAAGGCAAAAAGGAAGCCAGGTGGCATGGAGACTGCTGCACTGCTAAACTTACAGTGGTTCGAATTCACCCGCTACTCTGAAGGATAAAGTCTACTCCCTGGTTACCCTCACTACATCAGCGGGGATCAGAACTGAACAGATGGTTTGGGGTTTGGGTATATACAGGGTTAAGTGCTTTTTAATCCATTTGCACAGGGACACCAGCCATCTCCCCCCCCAAAAAAAAACCACAACACACCAACATTATCATTGTTACTATTTCTAAGTCAGAGAACTGGCTCTGCAGTCAAAGTCCCGAGTTCAAACCCCTAGTTAGCCAGTTTACGACATAATCACAGTCATTTGACTGTGATTCCCTACCTTCCCTGCCTTCATTCCCTACTTGTAAAATATAGAATGAGTGTAGCTCCTACCCTGCAGGGTGCCGTAGGCTTAAGTGTGTTACTGTACATATTCAATAAGTAACAGGCACTCATAGTCAGGAATCACGCTTTAGAGAAATAACTTCCAAAGCCCTCACCTGTTGGAGGAACATCTAGGATTCGAACCAGTCCTGTTGGACTCTACAGTCCTATCTCTAAACAACCGGTGAAAGTCCCACACTCTCAAAAAATAAAAATATAAAATATTGCCCAAACTGTAAAATACATCAAAGGCACTCACTAACAAGGCCTTTGAGACTGGCCTCCTGTATTCTCTCCCTTCGCCACAGGAGTCATTTCCAGGAGCCAGTAACTCAAGAACAAGCAGCTGGAGTCACCATGCGTCCCTTCACCAAGTGCAGGCAGCTAGGGAAAGTCATTTCTCCGTCGCTTTGGTTGTGTCAGCCGCCCGTCCCGCCTCCGCCCCCATTAGCCTGTCACGGGGGAACCGCTGTGAGTTTCAACTTCCAGTCTGGGAAAACTTCAAGCGGCCAGAGAGCATCCCTTGTCTGACATGCGCTGGAGACCTAGAGTCAGAGGGGGACCTAGAAGTGGGATTGTGTCCTGACATTTTAACCAGAATGCTCTGCTGCCCGGTTTTCGGTGCTCATGTGTTTACCTTTGATGTCAATGTGGCATCGCTCAAATTCCACACTCCCCTTTAGTATAAGTCTCCAGTGACAGGCAGCCAAGAGAACTTTGGGGCGGGGTGGGAGGTCCCAACTACCTACCGAAGGGGGCGTAATTCATTGTTTACCTCTACGAAGTGAGTTTGTGGAGTTGGCAGCACCGAGAGCCTAGCCAAGTGGGAGACCCCAGAGGGTTTGGGGGACGGTCTCTTCGTCTTTCTTCCTTCCCCCACCCTAGCCTCCCAAGCTGAGGGAAGCCAACCTGTCCCCGGGGTCGCGGGCCGCCCGGCGAGGCGGGCGGGTGGGCGGGCGGCGCTGGGCACCGCCTCCCTCCCTCGTACCTTCTCTCCCCGTGAAGCACGTAGGAGCTGCGGAAGAAGCCTAGGAGTTCGTTTTCGATCAGGGCGTTGTAGATGATCTTCAGGTTGTAATTCCTCTGTGCGTCCAATGTCCGGTTGAGGACCACCACCAGGACCTGGGTCTGTGGGTAGAGGAAAAAGCCGGCCACCGGGACCGCCCCGGCCGCCCGGTCCTCCGCCACCTGCACCTTTTCCACCGTCACCCGGGAGGCGTGCAGCACGACGTAGCGGGTGGCGTTCCGGCACGCTATCTCCACGTTGACCTCCCCGGAGAAGGTGAAGTTCTCCATGAAGGCGGTGCAGCGGCTTGAGGGGGCCTGTCAGGCGCAACTGCGTCCACGGCTGCCCCTGCTCCCGCTCCTCCTCCGACGGCGGCGGGGCGGACTGGGTGCCCGGGGTGGCCTCGCCGCCCGCGGCGGGCAGCGCGGCGTCCTCGCCCGCGTGGTGGTTGCGCCGGGCAGGTCCCGGGAGGCTGGCGTTGCCGCTGCGCGCCGGGTAACCCGCGGGGCCGCCGTCGACGCCAGGCGCTGCGCTCGCCCCACACTCGTCGAATCGCAGGCTGAGCAGCAAGGCGAGCATAGTGACCGCGAGCAGCGCCACGATGGACACGGCGAAGGCCAGCACGAGCCGCCTGTGCACCGTGATGTGGCGCTCCGTGGTGCGGGGTCGCACTCCCACCGAATCCGCCCAAGGGTCCGAGAGCCCCCTGCCGCCGGCCCGGAGTGCAGCGTCGTCCTCCCCCATGGTGGCCGCCAACGGTGAGCTGCTCTTCTCGGCCCCCTCCTCTTCTTCCTTCTTCTTCTTCTTCCTCTTCTTTTTCTTCTTCTTCTTTTTCTTCTCCTCCTCTTGCTCCCCCCGCTCGCCGTCCAGGGCCATCACACTGCCTCCTCCTCCTCCCCCGCCCCCTCCGTCATCCCCCGCGGGCGGGCCACCCGGGCCACCTCCAGCGCAGTCATCAGAGAGCGTGCGCTCGGGCCGAGGGCGCGATGCCGGTTGGGACCCGGGGGACGTTGGCCCAGGTCTTTTAAGACGGGCTCTGGCTGCGGGCGACGGCCGCCTGGGCGCCCCCCATCAGCCCCGCCCCTCTCCGGACTCGGCCGCCGCGGCGGGCTCTAGGACGCGCCCAACTTGGAAAGCAGCTCTCGCCCCGCGGCGCGCTACTTCTCGGCCGGGCGCCGGGACGCACGCTCCCCCGCCCCGGCGCGCCTGCCCGCGGTGCCCGGCCTGCCCTGCGCCGCGCTCCAGCCGCGCTCCAGCCGCGCTCGAGCCTCGCTGTTCTCGGGAGCCTTTCCACGGCTCCTCGGGCCCCGGAGGACGAAGAGCCTCGGGGAGGGCGAGCGTCTTGCGGAGGGAAGTTCGGGCTTCCGCTGTCTCCCCCACCCCACTCCCGCGTCGGCGTTCAGTCCTCTGGGTGGGATGTGCTCACAGCGGCAGCGGCGGCTGCGGCTGCACAGGAGGCGCCGGAGCCCTGCACTTGACAGCCGGGAGGAGAGGATGGCCGGGAGAGAAAGACCGGAGTGAAACCGTCAGAGGAAGTCCTGGGGCTACTGAGAGCTTTGTCAGGGGTTCTGTCCTGGAGACGCCTTCTCCTCCACCCTGGACACTTCAAGCATCGGTGGCAGCAAACATCTTGAGGTTGCAGACCGGACAGCGAGCCTCCCGGGCTGTGATGTGGCTCTGCCCTCCAGAGATGACAAGTGAGCTAGAAGTGTCCGGCCGGGCCATCCCTTTCAGGTAGATGAAGCTCCAGGTTTGCTCCGTATGCCCGTGGGGAGAGCCGGAGAGCATGTGTGCAAGCGCATGTGCATGTATGTGCGCGCGTGTGTGTACACACAGGCTTCAGGTCTAGATTTCCAAAGCTACTCTGGCAGCATTCAGGGACTTAAACTCCCCGAGAAAGGCAAAGGAGAGAGCTGGAGAGCGCGGGGAGGCAGGGAAGGCGGGAGGGAGGGGAGCGGCTGAGGCAGGCACTGGGAGATTAGAGAGCTTTTCTGCGCTCTGTCACACCAGACACCCACAGCCACAGAGGGGGTTGCTGAGCCGCCTTCGAGAACTACATTGTAAATCTTCAATGTAACAAGCCCCGCAGTCACCCCTCTTCCTGACTTCCTCGCCCCACCGCGGCTCTCCAAGGGACGTTTGGAGCCTTTGGCAAGAAACACTGCCAGCAAAGGAAGATCCTAGTGGGGGGAGATGTGGCCAGTTGCAGATTTCACATTAAACTCACCAGAGGATTTGGAGAATTGGATGTAAATTGAAACAAATTCTCCAAAGCTTGTCTGTATATATTACACTCTGTGAGGGGTCCAGGTGTGCAGTACTGAAACAGTGGTTAGCCAGGAAACGTTAGAATCTGGGGAAGTAAAGACCAAAGAAAGACGTTTTCGCCATATGATAATTTCTATTTTTAGATAGGAGAAATTATTAAAATAGAGTGTAATGACATGCTGGACCAAACACTTGAGGCTGAGAAAGGCTGAGTATCAGAGTCCCATTAATTTAGACTTACTCCATCAGTGAACAGATAGATTCTATAATTGATCAGTTCTTCACTTCATCTCACCCATTACTTTTCTGCAGTTTTCCAATGTTACTGTAAAATTTGCTAGATAAACTGTCAAGAAATACTTTGTTACAACACTTACTAATAGGAACATGTTTACCAACACCAAAGGACTTCACGAAGTTCATAGACCATTGGCTGGTTGTGGACGTTTGTCTGGATTTATTGGTTTTCAATGATCATACAGTGTGAGAATATGAGCATGGGGGATGTCAATCTCTCAGCATTTGTGTGGAATAAACTTTTAATTGGGAAAATGTTCAGAAAAGAGCCGCTGTAAAAGAGGCTTTGAAGAGGCAAAAGCCTAGCTTTTTAATAAAGTGTGATAACTTTAAAAATTTAAAGGAATAAAAGAATTCCTTTTTATATATTTCTCTCAAGTTTTCTAATCTTGGAGGCATTTCTCATAAATTTATATAATTAAATATAAATTATGCTAACTGCATTTATGATCATAAGTCTTTTCTTTATAAAAAGCCATGTATTCTACTACAGGAGACCTAGAAAAGTACACTTAAATTATTTTCTTTGGCTTTAAAAGTGTGGCCAAGAAAGAAGAGATCAAGTACACATGAACTGCATCTTGACAACTAAAAATGCAGCTCTTCTTGATAAAGCTCTTTACCATTCATCCCCAGATGGAATGCACACCAAATGCCATACACCCTAAGTGTCCATTTAAATCATTTTTAAATGATGATGAAAAGAAGTGCCAGCGTGGTTTTTTAAAGCATGTTTTATGTGGGCCGTTAGCAACAGACCAAAGGAAAATGTCACATTCTGTTCAAGTTACTTTTTTCTGCTCTGTTTTTTAAGTCTCTTTGCTCTTGCTGTCCATATGTATCTGTCTATATGCATTTTAAGAGGTGAGGAGTTGGGTTTACTTAGTTTGTTTTCACAGTATCATGAAATACAGCATAGGCATAGGAAAGGAGCAAGGTGATACTCCTCAGCAGGTCCCCAGACTTCCCTGACCTCAGGTTTGAATCTGGTGATTCAGGGTTATTGATCTAAAGTCCATGGATCCATCACATTTATATTATCAGAAGGGTCTGTAACCATCCCCAGGGTGTCTGAAAACTACTGCGTAAGGGAAGAAGTTACTCACTAGATAATTCTTAAGGTTAACTAGCTCTCTTTAAAATGTTATTAATCAAGAAAAGGTTCAAGAGTGATTTCTTGTTTTCTGTCTTAGAAATGTGTTCAAGTCCTTTTGAATGTTACAAGAGAACTCACTGGTGTCTCAGAGATAAAGACTGGATTTACTAATTAGCAAAATACCATTGTAATTAAATTAGTAGATATAATGTTTCTAAAACTCAAGTAAATTGATGCCCTTAAATGTAACTTTACCCAATAAAATCAAACCCAAGGTCAAGGGGATAAGTATCCCTTGTCCTGTTGAGTTACAAAAATACCCTCATGAGTTTTGCTTTGTTGTAATTTCCTTAAGTTATAGAACCCTTCCCTAAGAAGAAAAGCACACCAGTGAAATTATTAAATTTTTCTAAAAACTAAAAAAAAACCCTGTTCTTCCTTGAAATGAAAGAGGAAAAGAAATGGTAAAATTTCAGATTCTTTTTTTCCTAGTGAAATTATTATGATTCCCACTCAGCTAGTGTTGTAAGAGATCTGTGTTTTAGATCAGTGGATTAAAGTTACTCTTTTTTTTGCCTATGCTAGAACCGTGTAGTGCCCTAACAAGGGTAAAGTGATGTCTGAAGTAGATGATGCTTTCTCTGAGAGTCACATTTGTCAGGAGAATAGTATGACTTTTGGCCTTAGCTAATAAATGTCAATAAAGTCAGTTTTATGACCCCATTTGTTTCAGGGACTTGCAGAAGTGAAAACAATCTGCATATTTAACACACATGAGGCCAAATACAAGTTAGTTTTAATTAAATCTGTACTTCACCTTGGTCCTGTAAACAATCAAAGTGAACTATCTTCAGTGAACAGACTGAAAGACTTCAGTCTTCCTTTTTAATTGGCTGTACTTGAACTGCCTTCCCTTTCTCTCCTTTCCAAAATGGTTTGTATGTAAAGGCACAACTAAAGTGTTATGTGCTTGCCTCCTTCAAGTGAGAGGATTGCTTCACATCCAGAAGCAGCTGCTGCTCAGGAAAGAGAAGTGGATCCCAGGCCTGCCCTGGCTCCTGACACCACCCTGGCCCTGTTTACTCAATGACCTCAGTTTCTTGATGAGTTAATGCCAAGAAGTGTAAATAAGTCAACTCAGAGGCTTCTTCCACCTCTTAAATTTTATGCAAGAAATTCAGAAGCATATACACTACCCTTTAGGCATCCAAAGGATTTTTCATTATTCTTCTTCATTGAAAAAACATGTGAAGTGTACCTTCAATGAGAAGGAGATTATAAAAAGGTACTACAAAAAAAAAAAAAAAGGTACTACAGTAGAAAAATGCTGATTGACTGTGTCTGCACCCTAACGATATGTTGAAGCCCTGACCTCTGTACTTGAATATAACCTTGTTGGAAAATAAAGTCTGTGGAAGATGTTATCTTCCACAAGGTCATACGAAAGCAGGGTAAGTTTTGATTGAATATGAATGATCCTTTATAAAAGAGCAGAACACAAGTGATAAAGGCAACTGGGAAGAAAAGCCATATAAAGATGCATCTAACAGCCAAGAAACACTAAGAGATGTTCACGAGCATGGGAGAATCTAACTAGGAAGGCTCTTTCCTTAAAGCTGACAGAAAGAGCATGGCCCTGATGATGTCCTTAATTCAGACCCTTAACCTCCAGACCTCAAAGACAATAAATGTATGTTCTTTACTGCCATCCACTTCATGGCAGCCCTAGGAACTAAAACACAAAATCATAGTGAGGTTTAGGAGTAAGGGGAACCTTCTCTACTTTGGCAGTCAAAACAGAGCTGATCTACTTTGTGAAAGGATTATGTTCCTGAAGATCTCATGTAATGGAGACCAGGCTGGGAACAAACAGCGGGCATCTCTGTTTACCAGCTAAAGTGGTGCCGCCATGTGGCAGTAGCAAAAAAGAAAGAGAAAAGAAGCAGTTTAAATTTGCTAGTCTGATGAAATTTTTAATTTTGGGCAATTCAGATATTACAAACTTTATTAATATTTTTATAGTCCACAAGGGCAGGCTTTCACATTTGAAACCCTATTGCATGTGTCAACATTATTGAGTGATTTTATGCAAGAACCACATTCCTAGGTTGAACAATCCAAATGATTTTGAAGATGGAGAGAAGAGAATTTAAAATTAGCCTAAGTACTGAAAAGTAACATTTCCATGATGCAGTTTACCAGCTATAAATAACAG